TGTTCACTGCGATGTCCCGCCATCTCAGTAAGAGCCAGCTTCCTCTGGTCATCTAGCAATAAAAGCAAACTAAACTGATGAGCCGCTTTTTGAACGCCCTTTTTTTCGACTATTACAACCGACTGAAAGCCGGTTGCAAACGAAAAACACGGCAAACATAATCATCAGAGGAGAGACCGTCAACGTTTCCTTCAACTAGCTCTGTCTCAGGAAACATTGCATGAGACGAGGAAAAGTCAAATTGTTACTCGGGTAGCAGACATTGACAGTATTTACGTTTTTATCTAATTGAAGCGAACTCCTCGATTGAATACTTTAATGACAACGATGAAACAGTTCTACAGGGTGAAACACAGTATAAACACGCTGAATAACAAGAACAATAAAGCTAAACGCAACAAAGAATAACGAACTTACGATAACAAGTACAATAAGATCAACCCGTCCACGCGAAACGAGATAAGTATTTTTTCAAAACAACATGGCCGACTCCCCGCTCGTCCCCAGTCCTGCCGAGCCGCCGGTATATGGCCAGCGGTAGTCCATTCACTAATTTTTACTAAAAAATTTGCAGCGCTTGGGAATTCAATATCTCATTTGAAAGAGCACAAAATATTCTCGATATGAATGGTTTACCGAAAGTTAAAAAAAATTTTCTTTTAACAAAATATTACATTGGCAATTGAAAGAAGATATCTATTCGGTTGGGTTTTAATACCCACAAAATCACTCACAAATCAGCTTAACATGAGATTTGACCAAAGTTATTGAGTTCTAAGCTTCTTCTAAGAGAAAAACTGTCACGAACCCTGATATAAGCCATTTTATGAAGCAAAACATAGCAATGTAAATATTATTTACATTCGTCCATTATCAAGAGCACGTGCTAATATTCCAAGAAAGGTTCCGCTTACCTCAATCATTCCGCCTATAATTTCGCGTTAGGAACCTAAATTACTCTCTAAATAGCTTGGGGAAACCTTGAAAACCATGTTTACAAGCTCACAAATTGCTTGGGTACATTCACTTCCAGGAAAGACCGCGAAAAGCCCTCAACAACAATTTGGTCCGCACACATTTGCTCACAACTGTCCTGGCTCAGATTCGCTTAATGATTGGTCAACTTCACTTCCTGTCGACCAAATTTGGTGCAGACCGGGTGTAACGCAATCTCCCGCGCAAGAGAGGGAGAAATAGAGCGCTTTCAAAGTAATACAGCTTCCTCGAAGCCAATATCCGACAAATACATCGTTAACTTATTTGATCTGGATATGTAAAACTCAACATAATCGATAGTAATCGTAATAACCCTTCAACCCTGTAGGGTAACTAGCATCTATTTCTCACTAAGGTATCACCGGTAAATTAACCATTAGGCTCATGAGAATTTAACAAAAGATCGCAAACTAAAAAAGCTATTGATCTTATCGACATTTTCCGCGACACTGCTGTGCATAGGAAATGTATAAAGACCAGCATGGAGAATATACATGCCGATGTTAGGGTGTTATGGGTCAACCGGTCAAGGAAACCTCAGATGCATTATAGCACGAAACCTGTATTAAGTGCCTCTCTCGCCTGGAGCGGTCCTCTCGACATCCCTTCGAAAAAAGTTGGTTCAAATTTTCTCTTATTCACGTGCACATGTACGCATAGTTTACAAAAAAATCAAGCTGGGAATTGCCTTGAGACCTGAAATGGGTAAACGAAATATATTAGCTAAAGAGTTCAATTATTTTGGATGTGCAAGCTTTTGACTGTCGTTTTTTCACTTTGGATGAGGAAAAAGTCAAGTCACCGCACTTCTCTTCAACATTTCTGTCGCAGCGTTTTGTAGCATTTTATATCCAACGTATTGCTTTAGGCAGAATCTCTGTTGCACTTTTATCGTACATAGTAACCACTACTTTCTGCCTCACCAAAATATACCTCACACTTCGCCCTTCTTAGGGACAAGTGCAAAACCAAGGTTACCAAGGACAACGGAATGGAGAAGGCAATCAACTGAACAAAGCAAGGTACAGTGAAAGACTGTCTACAGCACTGCGGGTACAAATGACACTATTGGCCTGTTATCTCCCACTCAGTTTAGTCTTAGGTCTCATAACCACGGGATTACAAACGCCAACAATTTTCTTCCTCTGGCTCTGACAGCTTTAATTCGACTCTTAACCCATTCTGGCCTGTACAGTTTGAAGATGAGAGATATAAACCATATAACTTAACCATATATAAAGAGGGTAAATTAATAACAGCCACCTCATTCCGAGATAATCAGCTAGCTGAAACACGAGATCGTTACGCGTACGCAAGAGAGTTATACAATGAGCTTTCATCCCTGTATCGAGTGCGGAAATGAATTTCGATCACGCCACTCAGTGCGACGATTGCGGCTTTGGCAGCATCGTATCTGCGGGACTGGTATCGATCAAGCCACCTACCGTTTGGCAATAATCAGAGGAAGAATAGATTGGTTGTGCGTTGCATGTTCTCTTGCGGCTTGATTTTAGGATTATTATCTCCGTGATATCAAACGACAGCGAAACGAACAACCTGAGTTTCACGAGTCAAAATTTTACGAGTTTATTCCTTGAGATTTACTTAAGATGTTACTTTTCTTCAAGTTTAAACACTCGATAAAATTTCGGGCGACATGACTTAGGATCTCGGGCGACATGACTCTGGTTTCGGGTAACATGACTTCGGGCGAGATGACTTTCGGGCGACTTGACCGTAAATCGTCCTGAGTACTAGATAGTTTCAAAAAGGTAACATTTATTTAGTGGTATGACTACTGGATGATATGAAAGTACTGTAAGATTATCGTGCTTGGTTGATGGACAGAGGATTGTTGATTGAAGACAGAATATAGAAGGCAAAGGAAGAGTGATTTTTCCCTGAATGACCCACTTAATGAATACACAACAATTAATTTGTGGGAAACAAGCTCTCACGATGGCTACTGGCGAGCATTGCGCGAAATAAGTTGAACCAAACAACCACTGTGTTGATGAAGACAAAATTGAATTTCAATGAAATAATGAAAACAACACACAATTTTGTTTGAATAATAAATTTCGAAATTGAACACGTATTTGAAACTCGTGAGAACTGTTTAGGCCCCTTGTTATTAGTACAAGTGTCTTTTAAAGGAACCTTACTTTACAGGGGGTGGGGTCCTCCTAGTAGCATTTACAGGAGGAGTATTGTTTGTGTTCTTTCATCTTTTTATCTTAGGTGTATTTTTAAAGGTGGCCTTTCTTTTTGATAAAATCAAATGGAATTAAATTATAGCTTAACCTCGCTTGGGTCGTCTGCTCCTTGTTCTCCTCTGTGTTTCATTCGGTTCCGGTGTTCATGTCAATCTAGGTAATTCTAGGTAGTATTTACTGACTATAAAGCGACAAATATCGTTACAACTCTTTTATCACAGAACAAGAGTCTTGCATATGGGCTAAAAACAAAAGAAACAATTGTTAGAAACAGCATTAATTCATTCAACGCGGCAAAGAAAAGGTTTTTTTAATTAAAATTCCCGCCAAGCTTAAGTTTAATATCGATTTTCTTTATGAAACCTTTTTCATTATTAATTTAAAACTAAATAGGTTTGTCTTACCGCCACAGAGGTCTGTATAGAATATTATAGACCACCCAAGAAGACCATGAAAAGGCTTTATATGTATCTTTCAAGGACACGCGCCTCCTGGAATAAAGAAACGCCGGAGAAGATATCTTTTAATTTCTTCTATCGAAGGTTAGCCTGCAACGGCCGAATAATGGTCTTACTCCAAGGTTATTTGTTTTTTTTTAAGGTTTCGCATGCCCTAATAATTGCAAACGCTCTCTTTAATTAGATGAAGCATTGTTTAACGGAGAGAAGAATGCCGCCGCATGGTTAAGAAGCATTCATATTACCCTTGATAGAATTTGGAAGTTGTCTCAGACAACAGTTTTAACTAATTTAACGTAAGTTTTTAATTTCTCTCACAGCCGCTTTTATCATAGCATCTGACCGTAGACTGACTGACTTCTTTTGTGTTAAAACCAGTTATCTCTACAAGGACAAGATTAGGAAAGGCCTTTGACAAATGTGCATTTTAATCCATACATGTAAGGTTAGTATCCGCAAAGTTTCAACACGAGTGAATTCGTTCCCAGTAAATAACTGTATTTCTCACTGATTAATCAGTTAGACAACAATTGCTTGATGTCAAAGATTACAAAAACAAAAAATTTCAGTGTCGAAAATGAGATTTTACAAGTTTCCTGTGTTGTTGTTTTGATAAAACCGTTAGGAAACCGCGTTGAAGATAAATATAAGCTGGAAATCATTTCGTTCTTCTAGCGCATCCATTATGTCCCTTTTTATTCATTTTATCGTCTCGTATGTGTAAGAACGAAGCAATGACCTTTCTAGTTGGGTATAGTTAACATTTTTTCCCCATAAAATGCGAAAGACGAAAAGCAAAAGCTTGCAACTTCAGATAAATTGAGTGTGTGGCTTTTTATCGCCTTCAACAATAAACAGCTTGTGTAACTTACACCTAAATTTTGAAATCACTGACTGAGCGCCTAGCAAAAGCAGAGTGATCGATTTGGACAGTTTTTCCGAAAAAAAGGCCAGAATATTCGCCATAACGTTTTTAATAAGTGACTGGCAAAGATTGAGCATGGTTAAGGATGACTGACGTTATCTTCAACAGAATTGCCATTCGTTAGTCCATTTTACAACTTTTCTCCATAATGAAAAAGTACTTTTTAATCTTCAGGAGACATTCATATCTGCACCGAATGACATTTGTCTCAACTGAAGCCAAAGAAGGTGAGTACAGAGACATAACTCTTCTTGTGTCACGACCATTGCCGGCGGGACAAGCAAAACCGATACGCTCGACTGACATAATTAATGGCGAATTCAACTGAAGATGAAAGCCCTACATTTGTAAACCAAGAATTTTCGTGCGTTTCAGGTGTTACAATTTACAAGAATAATTTTGCTAATGTTTGGTATTCCTCTGTCCATCAGTGCAGTTGTCGGAAATGTTCTGATCATCGTTGTCCTTCACAAAGTGTCTTCTCTTCACCCGCCGTCAAAACTTTTGCTCGCTTGCCTTGCATTCACAGATTTGAGCGTCGGTCTTATTGCACATCCTCTTTTATGTGGTCTCTTATTTCCTCCAAAGCGCCTGAGTAGTTGTTCCAGGCTTTTGATCGTTCTTAATACGAGTTTTTTGTTTAGCGGTGTATCTTTGTCAACGATGACTGCAATAAGTGTCGACAGACTTCTCGCTCTGTTGCTAGGGCTAGGATACAGGCAAGTTGTAACTGTGAGGCGAGTAAAAATTTCCATCGTTGCTCTTTGGATTTTGTGTTCCTCTGTCGTAATGGTGGCAATTTACAATCGGCGCATGGCTTTAGGTATTTCCTCTGCAGGATTATTAATGTGTATAGTAATATCCACTTTCTGTTACACCAAAATTTATCGCACACTTCGTCTTTCTCAAGTACAAGTCCAAGACCAAAGTCACCGAGGACAGCCGAATGAAGAAGGGACTTCACTAAACAAAGCGCGATACAAAAAGACAGTGTATTTACATTGCGGTATGTAACACTTCAGACACAACGTTCGCTTTAATTACAGTCAATTTCAGGTGGCGAAATATTTCACCTCTCATCTTGAAACTTTGCCACTCTTAACTCTCTTCTGATTCGCTTAGCCGTCAATTTCACCGCATATCTTTTGCTCTTCGATAGCATTTTAGCGAAAATAATCGAAGCTTAGATGCTCACAGCAAACCCCGCAGAATATTCAAATTTTGTCCGTTGTTTATCTGTTTTAGTTTCGACTCCCTGTCTGATTGGTTGATTAGGAAATATAGGTTAAGGCGAGGTGTCTCTGTGGGGATGGGGTAAGTATTGTACACTAATCGACCGTACCACACGCGGTAGAGAGAAAATTGACCTCGTACCCAAGTCTCTTTCGCGGCCGTGTCCAGTCTCCGTGTTCAAAGCATAACCAGAAAGAAGCGAACCTGGAAATTCAGGTAGAAAACGCTCGTTTCCAGTGAAATGCGCGTGAAGTTTTGGTATTGCGACATGTCCCAGAGTGCAGTGATCTTAGATCGTAAAGTGTGGCTGAGAAAAATGTCGATCGGGAGGATTTCCGGGGCGCAAACCACCTCCGCGTGGACCACGGTCGAAATCAGAGTGTGCAGCCTTGACTTCGTCTTTTGACATGGATAACAGTGATGGTAAAGCAAGCTTAAAACGGCAGAAATCGCCAGAAACTACGACGGATACACAGGGCATGAGTAAGTTTTATTGATTTTACATGTAAAATATTCATATTTCGAAATATTTATCGTTGTAAATCGACCATATTTCGTTCCCCATACTATTCCTTATAACGTGTTCAAATTTTCAACGGTTCCTCCCGTAACTTAACACCGAGTCACACAACGCGTGACGCGTTCATGAATTAATCGTTGGCTTTTTCTCGAGACGTGAGCTTGGGCCGCCTGTGATTGTCTTCGCCTGGCTTCTCAGTATAACGCTTTTTTACTTTAACTCGACTCTAAATCCATTACTATACTGCTGGAAAATGAGAGAATTAAGACAAGAAATGAAGAACGCCATCAGAAAAATCTGGTGCATATCTGAATTAAGCGTTAGAGTACATAACACAAATGAGCCTCACACTTGAATAGCAGTCGAACAAATCTAGACAAAGTACCAACTCGATCGCGCCTCCTAAATCAGATATTTGTCAGGCGTTATTACCAGAAGTCTCTAATATAGGTTAAACTGTCCATGTTCTGATTAACAAGCGGCGATGGTTATTGAAATCGAAAGCAGAGTTAAGATATGATTAATATGTAGTCATTGTAATGGCAGCCTAAATAAGTTGGTGACCGTGACCATTCACAAAAGCAGAGTTAAGCTTTTTAAGCTAACATTTATGATGAAAATACCCACAAATCTATTTACATAATATGTATGCAAACAGCAACCCATTAGTTAAACCAGCTACATGTTTTACACTTGCAAGAACTGTTTAGGCTTCCTGTTCTTAGACGTACTCTGATGACAAATAACGTGGCTACCCGACCAAACCATACAAAAATCTTTTTTGGAGTACAAGTGTACACTTTTGGAGATAATTAAATAATTAGAGAAGAACACTATCGTATTTTTGTCTCATCTGCGTCGTATTCTCATATAGATGTGTGTTGCACACACAAAGGAAAAAATGTTACCCGGGCGTATCCTTTTATCCTTGGCAATGGAGATAATTTTACAAATTACCGGCGCGCTTCTTAAATGTGACCCATACCACAAGAGAGAAGTTTAAAAAAATTGCTAAACCTGTGATCGCAGAGTCGTTCCCGATGGTCTTCACAATGCGTTAAGTCGGCAAGTAAGGCATGATAACACGGAGGGTGATTGGAACGAGAAAGCGCCAGTCAGGCGTCAACACCTTTACTCCTTCCATACCCTCTATGTCCCCGTACCATGCGCGAAATGAATGTTAGAAATATAGCGTTTGATACTATAATATAGTTTCATTAACATGTTTCAATCAATTTTCCTCCGTTTTAAACTGTGGTTAGATTATTGCTAAAGGTGCAAAACGCCTTCGAAACACTCTTAATAATTGATCAAAAAACCTCAATATGGCAATAAACAAATGAAACTTTACTCTAGGTAACATTCAAATTACCCATGATTCTACTTTCAAGTTTTCACAAAGAACTGAATCGTCCAATCAAGGGCATCTAACCTAATTAGTCACATTTGAGACATACGCAATAGGCGGAGGCGAGCACGGTTTAATCTTACAGCGTATTCTAATAAAACTGAAGCGGCTACAGCACCAGCATGGAGTTTAAGTCATTCTTATATCAGGTACGTAGTTCCCGTGTCAAAAACGATAGCTTGATTATACAGATTACTCAAGAGAACTTTTCATCAATTTAAACTAGAGACTAAAAAGGTTTTCTTTTTTGGTTGTGTGTGTGGCACTACTTACGAAAAGAATAATTGACGATGTCAAAACACCTGACGATGTTTTAAGAATTTCAAAACAGCAACTTACATTTGGTCCGGGGTGCTGAGTAACATTCAAATTACCTTTGATCAAATTAGCAATCAAAAGCAAATTTTCAATCAAAAGAATCCACTTTCTACACACACATAATAGTCAGCTGCGAGAACCGACTGTTTCATCCTCTTTGTGTGTATGAGCACTCCAATAACCAACAAACAGTAGAGACAAAGATCAAAGAAAAGCAAACTGCTTAATCTTCCTGTTTATCCGCGTTACAAGACCAGCGTAGAATTCGAAATACTCCAATATCAGGTAAGTAGTTCCTTATTCAGTCAAAAGTGATCATTGATTAACTAGATTACCCAGCTTCTCATTCAATGTAAGTATAAAACTATGTAGGTTTTTCATTCCTTTTTCTTTTTCCTTTGGCGGCTCAGATAAGTTCGCGAAGAAACATTTTGACGAAGAATTAGCTGGCGATGTTTTCCCTAGTGTGTGCATGAATTTGTTCAGATTTGAAATCACTTTATCAAATCTTTAACGAGAAGGTCTAATATGTTTTCGGTCTATAAACTTTCTTCGTTTCATTTAATATGGAAATTTGAAAATGAAAGTCTTGTACCTCTAAAACAATTTAGAATAAACACGCTGATCACTTTCGAGTAGGTTACCTTTTATATAGGTTTAGAAAAGTATCGGAAAACACTTTTTCTTCCTTTTTGCCGCGTAAAAGCTGATTGGTTCTTCTCGAGCTCGTTCCTTTCTCATTCTAGGCTTTCTCTTGGGGGGGAAGAAATTGCAACTTATTTGTATTAAAAAACAGAATAAAATTATGTATGTAGACATGAAAAAAACATTTTAAGACTAGCAAAAGGACCAACAGCGGGTTGCATTTGGAAGCAAGAAAGTTCAATTGACATGGTAATCCATCGCTTGAAAATGTTTTTCTTTCGATAAGGGTTTACCAATCCACAACGCGCACTAGGAATTTAAGAGCATGATCCAGCCATGCGGGCTTTTATCAAGCCGACTAGGAAGGACAAATTAAAGTTGTGTGGAATTAACATCAGTAAGCCATAGAGCAAGATACATATTTATACATCACTGATAGAATACCACGGAGAGCAATCATGATCTAATTAGATCACTGGATGACCAAAAAAGAAAATAAAAATAAATACAGAATCTGCGCTTTGGTTAATTACTATTTTTTACTCCATTTGAACCTATATTCTTTTTAAAAAAACATTACTTTTTAATCATTAGGGGGGAAATTTGAACCAAAGAAGCGATATATCAGTTGACTGCTAAGACCTAAACCCGACTCATGTGAAGACAACGTGGACAACGAGCTGAAGCGACACGCTTGCAATTGACTGAAATAATGGCAAGTTCAAGGGAAGATGGAAACCATACAGTTGCAAACCAGGAATATTCTTGCAGTATGGGTCTTGAGGAGACTCATAAGATGATAATCTCAATTTTGGGCATTCCTCTTTTCATCAGTGCAGTTTTAGGAAATATTCTGATCATTGTTGCTTTTCGAAAGGTTTCTTCCCTTCATCCGCCATCGAAGCTTCTGCTCAGTTGCCTTTCGTGTACGGATTTGGTAATGAACTTCATCTGCCATCCTCTTTTTGCTGCTATTTCTTTCTCCCCAGAGAAATCGGTTGTTTGTTACACCCTTTGGATCCTTTATACTATCGTAGCTTTTGCGTTTAGGGGTGCCTCTTTGTCGACAACGACTGCAATTAGTGTGGACAGACTTCTCGCTCTATTACTTGGGCTGAGATACAGGCAGGTGGTAACTGTGAGGCGAGTAAAATTCCTTACTTTTTTTCTCTGGCTTTTAAGCGCTTCTGCAGCAATAGTAACATTCTATGGTCCACGTCTTGCTTCACGCATAGCCTTTGCAGCAGGTTTATGTTGCGCAATAACCTCTTCATTTTGCTACATCAAAATTTACTACAAACTTCGTCTTTCTCAAGCACAAGTGCAAGACCAATGTCACGAAGGACAACCAAATCAAGAAGGAATTCAAATGAACAGGGTCCGATACAAAAAGACAGTGTCTACAGCACTTTGGGTTCAAGTACTATTTCTGGCTTGTCATCTCCCATTTGGTTTATTATTAGGTTTTATTACTATCACTGGATTGAGTACACCATTCCTTTGGTTTGCTTTGGCTCTAGCAACGAGTCTGATGTATACCTATTCAACTCTGAACCCGTTGTTGTATTGCTGGAGGATGAGAGAATTAAGGCAAGCAGTAAAGGACACGATTAAAAAGTTTTGTTGTTTATCGCAGCGCGAAGCAACTTAAGAGTACCGTGACTTCAATAAGATGTGATGAGTCCACCGTTAGTTGAAACATCAGTCGAGAGGCTTGACCTAACCGAGTCAAATACAATCGTTATTCGGCTTTCGGCACTCGCGTTTCAGCTGTTCTTGTAGGGTTTAACGATAACGGAAAATTCTGAACAAAAGTTTTTCCTAATTTTTGCTATTTATCTAAAACTGCGTCCGTTTAGTTAATCTCAATTCAACAGCACTCGTGCATTC